CACGATTATGCACGTCGTCTGCACGTTGGCGGGCCGTTCAAACCCGTCGAAATTCAAGTTTCCGCCGTCAAAATTTTTATTTATTTTTTTTTTTGTGTGTTCCAATAAAATACGTTAAGAATTAAAAACTCGCGAAATTTGAGAAGCTACTATACGATATTTAACCCTTCAATATGTCTTCAAAGAGACCATGATGCAGAGAAAGTGGTACTAGTGCTTCCAAGCATAAGCACAAGTCACTATCTATGCAGGAAAAGGGTGAATTTCCATGGTCCAGCACCAGTCAGATCCCGAGGTTGCCAGACTAGAGAGGTATAACCTGTATAAGCTAGGCAAGTTCAGGCGCTCCATTCTCTCATGGTAGTTGAGGACAATCAAAATTCGGTTTAGCTCAACTTGCTGTGAAAGTGGGAAAAGCTGGAGATGAGGTGGCCTGTGAGATATCATGTTTCCATTGTTACATGTAATCGAAACTATATTAGTTGTGAAAAAATCATTACAATACTCTAGTGTGGCTTAGAAATAAAGAAAATATCATATAAAATTATGTAATAAGAAAAATGAAGAGCATGGGTTTGTATGTGTGGGCAGTGATGTCACAGCATACACACAGTGCAGCAGGCACGCACACATCTCTAAGTCAACTGAGTGAGTGCTCGGCTGGTTTGAGTGTGGAAGGAGCTGGGTTTTTTTTTTCATAAAATATGTGCTTTTGTTTTATAATATGCTATTTATCAACTTTATTGTTTATCTTAAAAGATGTTGTAGTACAGTACATGTATGCAATTTGAATTTTTGTGTTAATAAATCCGTCGTTTAACTTTGAAACTATTCGTAATGAACTCATTTATTATTATTAGGGAGTTCAGTCCTCGCTGTTTACTGCCATGACATTTAAACCTGTTGCTTGTCCTCCATGCTTCGATGTTATCCTCATTTAGTAATAATTTTTTTTTAATGTTAGATTTTTCAGGAATGCAACCCCACCTACTTTGCTGTCTCTCAGAATCGAGTATGATGAGTAGTAGTAAGTGATGGCTGTGCATGAGTTGATTTATGTGGTGAGGCAAGAGCACAGACTGCAACCACACACCATGGCTCTCCCTTGTCCTGGTCCAGTGGTGCAGGTAGTTGCAACGAATGGGGAGGAGAGTTGCAATGGACTGCCAATAGCCCAGTTTGTTGGGTTTTGCCTTATTAGCCTGTCCATTTTGCATTGCCTTCATCTGCTGGTGTAGTCATTGGGTTCCCTTGTTGGTTATCTCTTCCACCTACACTGCCATTGGGGTCTTACTGGAGTTCTGTAAGCATGTCTCCGCTTCAGATTTTTCGCTTAGGGTTTACACCCGTAGTCTTATACCTACCAAGGTTAATCTGCAAGGCAGTGGTTAGTAGGCACCAGGACATGTCCACATGCCTGTGGGTCTATGTGCTGTCCCTCTGGGGCCCACTGCTGCTCCGAGATCCCCTGCTGGTCTAGCCTGGCCCCACGAGGCACCCAGTTATCATGTGTTGCCACGAGGAGGCACAGCAGGAGTTTTGATGGTGAAGAGGCTGTGTACTGGTAGGGGAAGACTTACAGAAGGTTGCTTCTTTGTTCGTCATCAGAGGTAGCCAGCGGCGGCAGCTGAAAGCGAGAGGTAGCAAACAGTGCTTGCACCTTAACACTAATATAATGCTGTCACACTAGATGCATTACACCACCCTGTGTGCACACACACACACACACTTTTAAATGAGGGATACTTGTACTGTATCAGACTACAGGTACAATTTACTGACATAAATTGTAGATACTTTTAAATACAGTAATACCCCGATTTACGCGGTCAATTGAACCCGCGGAGTAGCACGTAAAACGAGAAACGCGTAAAGTGAACAACATAACATATGGGATTAATTGAAATAGAGACCGGGCCGATTCCCAAACTACACTTTTTCAGACACAATACCTACGTTGTAGTAAAAATAACATCTTAATTTTATGATGGTATGCACACAATTAAGAGAAATATCAATAATATTAGGTTTTTAACACTTACATTAGTAGAAAAGATGGCTGGGCACACGGGGATGGGGGGTTGGTTCCGAGGCAGAGGGCAGATTATTGGCCCTCACCTGTATCACTTGTATCAATTATATCACTATCCACCACAGAGGCTTGCAGGGCCTCTTTGTCAAACCCCTCAAAGTCCATATCCTCACTATCACTGACTTGGGCCGGCTGTGGTGGGTGGCGGGTGAAGAACTCAGTAATGTTTTGATGACTGGGCGACCTTGTGCGCACCCTGCCCGCGCCGCATTCCGGTTCTGGCGGGGTACCACGTAAATGTGGAAACGCGTAAACGAGAACTGCGTAAACTAGGGTATTACTGTACAGTGTCTCGGTTAACGAAAGCACAACTGCTCTAGAAGGTTGTTTGTTAACCTAAAACCATTGTTTTGGGCGGGTTTTGGGTACTGGTTCCAGCTCACCGGCAAAATTACTCTAAATTCAACAAAAAAGGTAGAAAAGCACACTTACTTTGGAGGTGTGTATGTAGAAGGCCTGTGTGGATGCATGATGATGATGATGGGAATTAGAATGGGGGTGGAGGAGAAGGAGAAGAGAAGGAATTAAAAGAGAAGTCACCCCATGGCGCCTATTTCACCCATAAAATTTTAGTTCTCTTGGTGTAATTCAAGATTATTTTCTTTAAATCAACACTGCACTGCATCATATATTGTCAATATGTAAAATAAATTTCAAAATGACCAACAATTTGCATTCACTGTAGGCTGTGTTGGCAGGCTGGATGGCGTGCCACAAACTAGTGACCCTACCTTCAATTATGTTCAATAATTGTTTAAATAACTAAAAAAAATTAATATTAAACTTTTAAAATTATTGAATAGTATAAACTTCTTGATATTTACTAAAAGGGTAAGGAATTTGAGCCCTAGAACCGATTACTGTATTGGCGGACTAATACTACAGCTGGTGGACCGCCAAATGCAAGCTAAAACATGTGGAGGTCGGCTCGTAAGATACTCGTTAATCGAGGGATTGCTCGTTAACCGAAGTTAAGAATCTTATGGAAGGTAACTCGTTAACCGAAATCTCGTTAACCGAGGCGCTCGTTAACCGAGGGACCACTGTATACTTTTCAAGCTAACTTAAAGATGCCTGACAAAGTATATGTGAAGCTCATAAAAGTGTTAGAATAATGTTTCATATAGTTGGCATTATATGGGATTCAGGTCTACTAAGCATAAATTTTGAGTAGACTGATATAATATGATAAAGAACTCACTCAAGAGGCCTATGCTGTGCTTGTTTGTCTTACTACCTTATTATGCATTCCTTCAGGCTAAAGTTCTTCCAGCGGTGGGCGGACGAGAAAATCCCCGACGTATTCTGGTTTTCTGGGCTGTTCTTCCCCTACTCCTTCCTCACGGGCATACGCTGTGAATCATATTAAGGATTTTATTTTATATCTAAAGTTTACACTGACTATATGTTCATGACTAAATATTAAAAAAATGAAACTATTAAATCAAAAGACAAATTCAAATCATGACTGGAGAATAGTTGAAAAGTGTAGTGAAGTTAAATGCAGTTATAATAACAACAATTTTAAAAATACACAAATGAAACTAAAACAAATATATTATGCTAAATTGGAAAAATCGCTTACTTATTTACCTAATGACCACCCACAAGAAGTAGCTATGACAAGGGAAGGAGGCCAGTGGCCTGTGTAGGATCCCTCCAGTGTTCATGTTAATTTTGTAGAGGGTTATTTGAAGCCCAGTACTGTTCATGATTCTATAGCTTGGGCTGGTAGACCATTCCAGGTCTCACCATCTGTGTGAAGAAGTATTTCCTGATATTTGTTCTGCAAGATAGTTTGACGAGTTTGTAATTATCTCCTTTCAGGATATTGTATATTTTAATGAAATCTTCCATATTGTGCCTTGTCTGAAAGGTCTACTGAACTTGGATAATCGAGATGATATACAGTAGTTCTGGAATCATCTTGATTGCTTGTGCTGGACCTTTTCTAGGGATGTTATATCTTTCTGGAGGTAGGGTTTCCATGCTTGTACGCAGTAATCCAGACTGGGACATACTTGAGAGTTGTATAGTTTAAGGAGAATTTTTCTATCATTACCTGCATATTCAAAGGTACATTTATAATTCCCAAATCTCAATTTGCTTTTCTCACTGCTGGAGTTACTTGTTGTGCCACCTTCATTGAATGACTTATCACAACACCAAGATCTTTCTCCTTATTGACAGAATCAGGAAAGTGTGAAGGGACTTGCATTTTGTAATGTTAAAGACCATTTGCCAGTCTCAAGTCCATTTGAACAGCTCATGTGGGTAATTTTTGCCTTGTTGTGACATGTTCTTGACTTCTTTGACACCAATTGTCATTGGGTAAAGACAAAGGTGGCCAATCTAACTATCCAAAAAGGTGGAGGTAAAAATAAACTTACATTTGTTTTAGTGCAATATTACTCAGTGCCTACCAAGGGCAGACACATGATGACAATACTGCTCCTGCATGCCTACTACAGCTGTCACATGATGACAATACTGCCCCTGTATGCCTACTACAGCAAACACATATTGACAATACTGTACTGCCCCTGTATGCCTACACATATTGACAATACTGTACTGCTCCTACCACAGCAGATGATATAGCTACCATAGCAATATATGTTCATTCAAGTCTTTTCTCAATGTAATGCCTGAAACCAGAATCAAGATCAGACACACACACAGGTTCTCTCAGAAATTGGATGTCATTCATGAATTCTTATTACAGTATCAGATGTGTTCTATTATGGTACTTCCCTTCAACCATCAAGTCACAAATTTCTATCTGGTTTACCCGTCACTAAAAATCTAGCATCACCCACCAGCAGCAGCAGCAGCATATGCTTCCCCAAATATCACTCACTGGCATGCTCTCTAGTCATTTATGTACATTGCTGCTTCAGTAAAGTACAGTACTGTAAATTATATAAAATTTAATCTCATTTATCATAGGTTGTGTAATAATTTTGTACTGACAGCATACTCACTGTATACTCCATATGCATTTACACCAACAGGTAATGGAAAAGGAGGTGGAAGATATCATCCAGGAATGTATCAGACCCAACTTCGTGGAGTTGCCAGTGGTGATCGAGCGGCTGCCCACGCCAAATATGCAGGGGCAGTACTACCCCCTCGACACTGACCTCGAAGAACACGAATCGCTTCCTTACGATAACGACTCCCCCCAGCTCATGAAGGAGGGTGACCAGGTAACAAAATGCAGAAACAGATATCAAATGCCAGGCTAATAACTTTAGTACAGGGATTGAAGGAAGGAAGGAAGGGAAAGTAAGTAATAAATCAGAGAGAGAGAGAGAGATATAAACCAGATTAAGTGGAAGGGAGTATTCAGGAAAGGATGAAGAGTAGAGTCAGGTAAACTAAAAGGCTGTCTTGGTAAGAATTGGACTATGAGGATGGTGAAGACAGAATGGGAAATGAAAGATTAGTTATCAAAAGAGAACCACATAACAGAGAGGGAAGAGCTTGATAAATAATGAAGGAAGAGAGACCAGGTACAAGCAGAAATAGATAAGGAAGGATGACAAGATAACAAGTGGTAGAAGGATGAAGAAGGAACTGAATAAGGAGGGAAAAGGTAGCAAGATCATGAAAGGAGAAGGATAAATCTTACCAAGATGACAGGTATGCTAATAGACAAAGGAAAATGGCATATGTGTGCCCTATATTCAAACAGGGTGATTAACACGGCTCAAACAATTAAGGTGCAGCCTTCTGGAGTCATCCTACTTCCAGAAAAAATAAATAGAAGTTGGAAGTTACACAAGCCCCCAAGCCCCATCTGTACAAGCAGCCTAAATAATTGTGGCTATCTTGTCATCAGATTTACTACCTCACTTACTGTTACATACTACAGGTACTCCTCTACTTACGAACGCGTTACGTTCCTGAGGCTTGCTTGTAAGTCCATCTTTGCTCTTGTAGATACCAAATATATTGTAAAAAATGAAAATATTATGGATATATAGTACAGCTATACCCTTTAATACAGCTTTAAAACCTGGCTCACTCTTCTCCTCTTAGGTAATGTTTGTTCTATCTGGAATTTTCTTCAAAATAGTCCAGTCTCATCCACATTAAACACCTGTTCTGGCAGGTAACCCCCCCTCAGTGATGGTGTTTGTATCTCTGAAAGTTTGTAAGTTGAATGTTCTTAAGTAGAGGAGCACCTGTACAGTAATATCATTGTAATGCATTATTTTAAGAAAAATGGTACCAACCAATCATGTGTTATGGCTTTAGTTTTGTTGGAACCTGAACCCTTTTCTGGTTACTAACTGCACTGTAATCAATCCAAAACACTCAATGGTATGAACATAACACTGAAGCACTAAGATTTCAGTATCATATGTTTTTTGCTACAAAATACATACAGAGATATCACACATTTTATAGTAAGCATTCCAAAACACTTACCCGGTAATGATACACACATTAACACTTGATCCATACTCGGTCGGGTTCTGGAATGTTAAATGTCACCCCTGGTCGTCTAAAAATTTGGGGGAGGACTTAAAAGATGCAATTTGGTATATGAAACTTTAGAACAACACTAATTTTGGCTGTACTCACCATTTTGGAGTTTGCAGGGTGGGAAGTATGAAGCATAGGGTTTGTGGCCGTGTGGCATAAATTACCATGTTGCTACATCGTCATGTTTTCTACTCGTGGATTTATATCTTCACTGTTCCACTCACCTAATTTTATCATTTTTTTAACTTATGTATGTCTAATTTATTCATAACAGTGATTAGAGATACAGTTTTATTGCTTCACACTAACATTATTTACATTATGAACTGGCACTAGCGCATCTGACTACGTATTACTACTCACACACACACACCTGACCCTGCAAAATAAAGCAATTTTTTTTCTAAAAACCTAAGTATGTAAATGCCTAGCATTAACTCACCAGGCCAACATACAGGCAATTAAAACATCTAATAATTACTTAAATACGTAATATTAGGAGGACACGTCGCTACCTGGCATTTAATAGCAGATTTCGTTGTCTTAAGCAAGCCAAATGGTGAAATGATCATATAGGATGACCTGCCTGTAGCAGGTGTTGCTAAATGTCATTCTCCTTTCCCTACATGAAGGAGGGATTGTACACACTGTTTGCTGTACTGTACATACACTCTCTACATACTAGCATACACTGACCACTCTGCTATATGTACTACTGTACATATGGTACTTTCACTTTCTGAATGTACAGTACTGTACTTTACAGTGTGCATGAATATAATTACTTTTTACATCTTAATTAACACTATTTAAATGGTAGTCTTGGCTGATTATATGCTGGTACAGTACTGCACAACACAGTTTGTGAGCAAACAAGCTACTACTCTCATGATGCTAGAGTTTGAGGAGATAGACTGCAAGATACATCAGCCAATTTTAGGCATCCCATGCAGTCATATGACAGTACAGGTACAGAGTAGTAGCCAATCATAGCTCACGAACATTTTGAGTCTACCCACCCATATGCTCGGCACATGCCGATGCACGATGCAATTTTTCGGAAATTTGTTTGAATGCCCAGAACGGAGAGATTTTTCTTGGAGTGCTCAAAAAAATAAAATAAATTTCAGGGTAAAGGAAAGCCTTGAATTACGATGATTCATATTTAAAACCCTGGTTAGTTTAAGACCTGGTTCAAGTTACATAGTTATTTTACAGGTATCTCTTACGTTACAGAAACTCAGGTTGCGGAAATTCGCCCATAGTACTCATTTTGTAAATTATGACCACTATATTTGGGATATAACCTGCAATTAAATGCCAGGTAGCGACGTGTCCTCCTAATATTATGTATTAAGTAATTATTATTTGTTTTAATTGCCTATATGTTGGCTTGGCGAGTTATTGCTAGGCATTAACATACGTAGGTATAAAGCTAGATGTTGCATTCTGGACTATATCACAAAAACTGCTTTTTTAGAAAAAAAAAGTTTTTTTTTATGGTCATTTGCCCACCCGGGCACAGGTAATTTTTAATGACCCACATCAAGGCCTGGGGGGGGGGGAGGGATATAATAAATTAATAATAATAAAAATTATAAATACTGTAATAATAATAGAACCATAAATAAAAAAATAAAAATAATTAAAAAAATATTGAGTGAGAAATGATATATGTATGTTGTGTTGTCAAAATAAGAAAACAATTGAAACCCTGGGATAAATTATAAAAAATTTCAACACAAAAATTGTGATATAGAACAAAAAATGTTTTACAGAAATTATAATTTATTAAGGCTGAAAATCAAACTGGAAGGGTACGGAATTCTGGGAAATGTCCTAGTGTAGATAGATGACCTTCTACATGACCGCAAGCAATGTGTGGTGATTAATGGCACGAAATCATCATCTGTACCTGTCACAAGTGGGGTACCACAGGGCAGTGTACTGGGCCTGCTGTTGTTTGTTTCATAAATGACATGCCTGACATTGTACACTCCTACATACAAATGTTTGCCGATGACGCCAAGTTATTTCAGGAAAGCAAGAACCAAGCAGACTGTGAAGAGCTGCAGAAGGACCTCTGTGGGCTCCGAGAATGGTTGAAGAAATGGCTGCTGAAATTCAATGTCACGAAGTGTAAGAGGATGCACCTGGGGCGTACCAACGGTAAGGAGGCGTATCATATGTCCCAACGGGATGAAGAAACTGCACTATTTGAGACTGAATGTGAGAAGGACCTAGGTGTGTATGTTGACAATGAGCTAAAGTTCTCGGGCCATTGCGAGAAGAAGGTAAATCAGGCAAATAAATTTTTGGATCTTATAAGAAGGTCGTTAAGATATCTAGACATTCCGTCCCTCGTAACGATCTTCAAGAGTGAAGTGCTTCCCCATCTGGAGTACTGTCACCCTGTCTGGTCCCCGAGATATGCTACGGACTGTCAGTTGATTGAAAATGTTTAAAGGAGGGCCACCAGACTGGTGCCTGCACTTCAGCACCTCAGCTACCCTGAGTGATTGGAGCGCCTGAACTGCCTAGCTTATACTACAGACAGGCAAGGGGAGACCTAATTGAGGTGTATAAACATCTCAGGGGGCACTAAGTCGAGTGTCCTTACTTGGAGCTGGCAGATCGGTTCACAAGAGGTCACAGCTCAAGATTGAAGAAGCCGCAAGTCCAGAAAACTGTGAGGGCAAACTTTTTCGGAGTGAGAGTTGTGAACTCTTGGAACAATCTACCAGAAAGTGTTGTGATGGCACAGAGTGTGAGCTCTTTCTAGACAAGACTTGACCAACACTGGAGCAGGTTCAGGTACATTCAGGGCTGAGTACATGCCAATGCCGCCAGCAATGCGTAATATACAAGCGTGACGATACGCCGGCTAACGAGCCAATCAGTGGTGAAGAGGATAAAAGTAAAATAAGTTAAATGTGCCTTGATTAGTGACTCGGTTCAGCTGTGATCTGGTCTTCAGCCCCATCCCTCACTACCCGTTACCTTTTATGAAGGCCAACAATTTTTTTTCTTCACTTTCCAGACGGTGAAAGTCCCAACTGAACAGCAGGAAAAGGAAGACAACGAGAATGACTCACAGAGCCAAAGTCATGAATCTGATGACGTCATCTACCAGGTCATCCCTCGCCAAGCACAGGGAGGCACCTACACATGGGTTAGTAGGATGATAGATTAGAAAATAATATTAGAATAGAATAAGTAGGGGTTCAGGGGCTGGGCTCTTAATAATAAGGGTAGGGTTGATTGCTAGATAAATTTTTCCCAATAGTATTAGCAGATAGTCGAGCTTTACACAGTAACACACCTTGGATAAAACTCATTGGTTACGATATTGCCACTGCGCAAAGCTGGGAGAGGATTTAGATATTTAAGCTATACACCTAATAAGCAGGACAAAGACAAGTGAGGGCATCTTTGTTAGAATACCAGGCAAGTGAGGTTGCCTGGGCAGGTATATTATAGGTCAGGTAAAATAACCAAGATCAGTATGCATGATATGTCAAACAGTCAATTGGGTTATACCCATGTCATTCCAGTATGACAGACAAAGCAGTATGGCAGAAGAGTTTTCTACACCCAACATGCAGCCCCTTAATACCAATGTGCTCTTGTGCAGGGCTTCTTCCTGGAAGGTGCACGCTGGGATCGTGAACAACATTGCTTGGCGGAGATGTCAGCCAAGCAGCTACATGACCAGTTACCTATCATCCTTTTCCAACCTGCTGCCCTCCCAGACATGTCACACCATGAGGGTATGTGCCCCCAACACACCTTCTCTTTACTCATTCCTTTACCTTGCCCTACATGTTCAATTTAATTTTCTTTATCACTGAGTCAGACCAGGTATTCTCATCAAGGTGATTTAACCATATCATTGGTTAAGATTTTATGGGTACCTGAAAATTGCTCCATGTCAAAAGTAATGATATGTCAGAATACTATTTACAAAATGAAATTTGGTTTATGTACTGTATAATAAAACCTAGATTTCAAACTATTTGAAACTATTGAATGGATATAACCTAGAGTACAGTAGACAATTTTTTTCTGCAAATTGTTAAATGACTGGATTATTTTTATACACCAGTTATTCCTGTTCTCAGTGGATTTAAATGTAAATTAAGTGGTATACGTATATGTTTTAGTTTATATCGGCAAATATATCTTGGTGACAACTTTATTCACAGCAAAAAGAAAATCTTTACTCCTTTAGATTTTGAGATAAGACTACTGGTATGGTATGTCAAATTTTAAATAAATCATATTATTGATATTTAATACACTTAGTGGAGCTTACCAAAAATAAACACTCGTGACTTCTTTGCATGAAACACGAAGGGAATGTTCATGACAAGTGAACATAAAATTAAAATAACTTTTGAGCAGTTTGTTAAGATACTGTCATTAGTTACATAACCAAAATCTTTTGAAGGAATATGTAACCAATAACTTATAACTTATGATTCACAAATTTTGATGAGTCTGAGATGTTAATGACATTTCTGCTAACTGATGTTTTATTTAGATTAGCCACACTCGTATATTGTCCTGAACTTATTTGCACAAAAATACATCACTCAGATACTGAAGTAGAATGATTCAGCTTAGTGAATGCCAACAAACTCTCGATAATCTGGACTAATTGGAAGAAAGTTGATTCATAAACTACTTATTTTTATACATCATCAAATTGCCTGAAGATTTTCATACCGTTGTCTGCAGGTGTGAGCTGTAAATATGAAGACCAGGCAGAAGAGAAAGGCATGTACCACTAGGGTGTGTCATAGGAGGGAAGATCAGCTAAAACTAATGGCCCATCACTTTTTTGGTAGATTTTAGTGTATATAAACAGAAAATAATTTCAGTTTCAATATTTTGCAATCTTTTGCTAGGTAAATTTTAGCGTGAAATTTATCGAAAATCTAACGTACAGCTGCATTAGTGCATTACAATTAAATAGTGAACATTGCTTTCTGACTTCATTCTTTAACAACCCAACTAACAATATTTTTTCTGTTTCAGATTCTGATGCATTTATGAGTTGATAATATTTGCGATGGCTGTTTGTGTCAGGACGAGGAACCAAAAATCCAGCCATCTCAGTCACTATCTTGGGTCTGGGAGAGAGCTCCTGAAGTCGGAGTTGCCTACATTGAGAGATGCTTTGAGATACGGTGTTTTAATCAGGCAAATCAGTGAAAAGAA